TTGGGATCTAGTTTAATCATATAAAGGTACTGAAAAGATACATCATATGACTCATTTTACTCTACCAAAGCATAGTACATTATGTTAGCTTCCTAACTCTTTAAATGACGCGTCAAACGGAGTCCGAAAACTCAATTTACGACCATTCAAAGTTTCTGCCAGATAACCTCGCTTGAGGCTTGCCCGTTAAAGCAGCTTTCTCGCCTGAGGCTCACCCAGCGATGCTGGGGAAAAAAGACTTCCCCCATACCAAAATCCAGGAGCATTGTTTTTCTTCTGTCACCCACGCCCGAAGAATCTATTCGCTCGTCCGGCGAGCTCCTCTCGCTTCTATTTCGCCTGGCAAAGCTGGGGCGAGTCACCCTCTCCATACAAAAACTCATGGGCTCTATTTTCACCCCTTCCCTCGCCTCTTGTTCGCCTGGTGCTGCTAGGGCGAGGCTCAGTCGCCCTATAAAGCATATGGCTCGCCCGATGATGCAACGCGAACAGGGAATTCCCTGTGTGTTTTCTACATTGTACTAGTCCCAATTTTCTTGTGATTTAAACACACAACATGTTCCAATTCATCACAAATAATCATGTTTTCATTATATAATACCAACACATCATATTATACATCATACACATCAATTCGTAGCAAAACAACATGGTAATTTCATTAATTTCATCAAAGATTCATCATACTCATCATGATATCACATCACCACAAAACCCCAAACAACCTACATACATGATCGATAAAATAGCAAGTGTACTATTTTTCCTCTTTAGTAATAATGAGGAAAATTTCCCGAATGTCGATCTCAAGGACTACTTGTAAATATGAAGTTCTAATTGTTGCTCAATTAAACAAAAACTAGTGTTTTGGTTTAAATTGCGAGTAGATAATAATAACTGCGAATAAAGTAAGAAAATTGGCTATGTGGTTTTAATAAATATGAGTAACCTTCTAGGACAGGTGTGTGAATTATCCCTGTAATAATGTTGAAGTCAATATTGTAACAACTTATTTTAAATAATCAATTATCGGTTCTTAAGGGTGTTTACTCCTAAGTCCTTAGAGAGAAAACCTTTAATTATTCATCCAAAGCCCTAAGTCCAAAGAAACTTACTGATGAAATTAAGAATTTTTATTATCAAGAATATTTGGTTGTTATAGGGTATCCCTAGTCCAAGGTGATATCTACTATAGCATAATCTCATACAAGCATTAACAATTACGGTCCAGCCTAAATGCTAATCATAAATCAAACCCTGTTTGTCCGACAGAGAAGTCACTAGAAACATTTTGAGATTGAATCTATTACGAAAACAAACATTTTTATTGCAATTATCAAATCAAATTCATTACAAATGTAAATCAAGGACACCTCATAGAATTGGGGGTTTAGCTGCTCATACTATTAAAAGAAAACAATAGATAAATTGTAGACATTATAATTATTGGGGAGAAATTTAATCTTCAATCGCTTTCGTTCATTAAAATCTCCTTCCACTGAAACCCTTGTCTTCTTCAATCTTTTCTCGTGTAATTCTTTGCTTGTCAAAAAGTCCCATAATTCCTCTTTAAAACTCTTCTAAATAGAAAACATTCACTCAGATCCATTGGAAATACCCAAAATTCCCCCACTGCTCAACCCATGGAGAAAATATAAAAAAATAGGAAATCAGTGTCACAAGCTGACACGGGCTGTGTCAGCCAACCATGCGCTCGTGTCGCTCTTCTTTAATTTCAAATGCTGATTTTTGGTCCCAGGCATCCTGACACGGGAAGTGCCAGACTGACACAGGCAGTGTCAGACTCCAAGCATCCTGACACGGGTAGTGTCAGCTGACACATCCCCCCGTGTCAGACCTCTGATTTTTTTGCTTTGCCTTTGCTTCTTTTGTGACACGGGAAATCGTGTTAGACCTTCTGGAGTGTGCAGAAAATATTTTAGAATTCTTGCGATTTTTCCGTGTTTTCACCCAGATTCTTCTTGAATGCTTACCTGAACCTAAAAACATTAAAGATACACAACAAAAACATAAAATGTGGGAAAAGGGAAATAAAGCGCTTAAAAATAATGACACAATTAACTAGAATTAACGGTAAACAAAGGTGTAAAAACCACTGATCAATACATCTAAACCATATATCAATCATAATAACAAGGATACCCCCCTCCTTACCTTAGATTATAGCTTTGATCTTCTTCTTTGTGTTCTACCAAAAATCCCTTTGTTCTCTTCTCGCCTTAGCTCTGTTGCGTTTTTCCAACTCTTTTCACGATCGCACAGAATGACACACATTTCCCTTTATTCCTGGTTTAACCCTTAGACCCTTTATATGGTCTTCCCATCTTACCTTCACTAATCACTTCATCAATTACTATTTTTTCCTTATCATTTCTACACCTCATATTATCTAATTTTACTAATTAAAATAATTCTAAATAATTATTCATATTATCTAAATTTATCTAAACCATTCAATATCACTTAATTTTCACGATGCCCCACATAGCATCACATCACACATCATATTCATCAAACATCACATATATTAACAAATACATCACAAATACTCATCACAAATAATTAAATAATTAAATAAATAATCTAATTATTTTGGGGTGTTACACAATCCACAAGAGCCTCTCATCCCCTTAACTACTTAGCTGATTATTATTGTTATGATGCTTCCTCCTCTACAAAATATCATATTGCCCATCCTTTATCTTCTATCCTCTCCTACCATATATTTTCTCATGTTTATAAATATTTTTGTTGCACTATATCTTCTAACGTTGAAACAAAAACATTTAATCAAGCTAACAAGTTTATCTATTGGAAACATGATATGGATGTTGAACTAAAATCTCTTGAAGCAGATCATACATGGACTATAATTGATCTACCACATGGCAAAATTGTTATTGGTTGCAGATGGGTATATAAGATCAAATATGAGGCTAATGGTTCCATTGAGAGGTACAAGGATAGACTTGTAGCTAAAGGTTACACATAAATTAAGGGTGTCAATTATATTGATGCTTTTACCCTGTAGCAAAGATCACCACTGTCAGAGTGTTACTCTCTCTTACTGCAATTAAAGGTTGGCATTTGGAGTAGTTACATGTTAACAATCCCTTCCTCCATGGTGAAAGAAGTATATATGACACTTCCTCCTAGCTTACTAGTCTATAATTCCTATCAAGTGTGTAAACTTCAAAAATTATTATATGGCTTAAAGCAAGCTAGTCTACAATGGTATTCTAAGCTTTCATCTTTTTTGATTTCCTTGGGTTACAACCAATCACAGGAAGATCACTCATTATATATGAAATCAAATAAGAAAAACTTTACTATTTTACTTATGTGTGTTAATGACATAGTTCTAGCTGGTAACTCTACTAACGAAATCAATTTTCTACTTCAGCTCCTTGAAACTCTATAGGTTTGTTGATTCTAATTGGGACAGATGCCCTGAAATAAGAAAAACCACCAATGGCTTTTGTACCATTCTTGGTTCATCACTCTTATGTTGGAAATCCAAGAAACAAAATACAGTGTCAAGATCTTCAACTGAAGTAGAGTATCGTGCATTGGCTTCTTTGACTTATGAGCTGCAATGGCTTCAATATTTGTTAAATACTTTTTGATCTCATTCTGTCAACCAGCTTCTGTTTTTTATGACATTAAATCTACTATTTACTTAGCTCATAATCCTACATTTCATGAAAGAAGCAAAAACATAGAACTTGATTGTCATGTGATTAGAAAAAAACTTCAATCCAAACTCATTCATCTGTTTCCTATATCCACTACCGCTCAACTTGCTGACATTTTCACTAAACCATTACATTCTCTAGCTTTACCGACTATTTTAATCAAATTGAAATTTTATAGTATCCATAGTCCAACTTAAGGGGGATATTAGGTTATACATACAACTATATATTTATTTTGTATAAGCAAACTATATATTTATATGTATAGCTAGTAAGTTAGTTTAGCCTAACTAACCTTAGTATTTTGTACTTGTATATATAGTAGCTAACAGCTACGACTCAATGTAATGAAAAACAATTACAATTCTCCCTGATTTTTCTGTTTTCACTTTTAATACTGTGTGAGATCTTCATCATCAACAATGAGTCGCGTAACATTTTGGGTAGAGTATGGGGCTTCCGATTCGAAAATTATTATATAATCATAACTCTTGAAAGTGAATTTAATTTAACTACCTAAATATGATTAGGTTAAACATATTAAATTATTTATTTGCGATATAGGAATTTGCATTCGTTAAAACCTTCTTTAATTACGATTTCATAAAAAATAATGTGGTGTTGTGATTAAAGGAGAAGGTTATGAGGCTATAAAAAATAATGTGGTGTTGTGATTAAAGGAGAAGGTTATGAGGCTATAGATTATTGTAAATAATTTATTAATTGATCATGATACTTGGGAGAGAATTGTAATAATTAGATGTAATTATGATATAGAAAAAAATAAAGAATATTTGGCAATGCCGGAGGTAAAAAGAGTATAAGTTTTGTAAACTTGAAGATCGACATTGCTTCTATAAAACGAGTATAATGGTAAACATGTTGAAATTTAATGAAGAAAACATTGAAATAGAAATTAAACAATGAATAAAAAGAAACTCGTTGATACGCTTTTTATAATTATTGTCTCAAACAAACAGCTGGTCTACTACCTTCACTTTTAAAATCCAAAATATTTGCAAGGCACAACGTTTCCTTTAGGCAGTAATTAAGGCCCTTGCTTGACATAAAATTTGTCCATAGCACCTTCCCAAATATCTCTCCCGACTACGGAACTACATACTGACCATAAATTTGTTTTAAGCTCTAAATGTTAATATTCAATTCACCATAAATTTGTTTTAAGCTCTAAATGTTAATATTGCCTGTTATAAATACCACAAAGATCATTGATTATACACACACATTTAACTGCTAACTAATCAACTCAAAGACACACACACCATGGCTGCTAATAGTATTGCATTCACACTCATATTCTGCTTGGGATTGTGTGCTCTCCAAGTCACTTCTCGCACCCTCCAAGACGACTCTATGTATGAGAGGCACCAACAATGGATGAGTCACTATGGCAAAGTCTATAAGGATTCTCAAGAAAGGGAGAGTCGTCTAAAGATATTCGCACAAAACGTGAAATACATTGAATCATCCAACAATGCTGACAGTAACAAATCATACAAACTAGGCATCAATCAATTTGCAGACCTCACCAACGACGAATTCACAGCTTCTAGAAACAAATTCAAGGGGCATATGTGCTCCTCAATCACAAGAACATCTACTTTTAAGTATGAAAATGCAAGTGCCGTTCCATCCACAGTTGATTGGAGGAAGAAAGGAGCAGTCACACCTGTGAAGAATCAAGGACAATGTGGTAAGTGTCTATCTAATAAATAAATCATTATTATCTGATCATAAACTCTAGTTAATATATCAATTTATCTTTTGTAGGATGTTGTTGGGCATTTTCTGCTGTTGCAGCAACCGAAGGAATTCATCAGTTGACTACTGGAAAATTGGTCTCTTTATCAGAGCAAGAACTTGTTGATTGTGACACAAAAGGTGTGGACCAAGGTTGTGAAGGTGGTCTTATGGATGATGCTTTCAAATTCATCATTCAAAATCATGGACTCAGCACGGAAGCTCAATACCCCTATCAAGGTGTTGATGGAACGTGCAGTGCAAACCAAGCATCCACCCAAGCGGCTACCATTACTGGGTATGAAGATGTTCCCGCCAACAATGAGCAGGCACTGCAAAAAGCTGTTGCAAATCAACCTATTTCTGTAGCCATCGATGCTAGTGGTTCTGACTTTCAATTTTACAAAAGTGGTGTCTTTACTGGTTCATGTGGAACTCAGCTGGATCATGGTGTCACAGCCGTAGGTTTTGGTATAGGCAGTGATGGAACCAAATATTGGTTGGTTAAAAACTCATGGGGAACTGATTGGGGTGAAGAAGGATACATTAGGATGCAAATGGGAGTTGATGCTGTTGAAGGACTATGTGGCATTGCAATGCAAGCATCTTATCCCACTGCTTAAATATTAAATTTAAGTACTTATGTTACCTAAAATCTGTAAATCAAGCTAAATTATGATTGATTTTGCATTTACCATCTATTAGCTACATCAATCATGCTTTATGGGAATATTTATGTACATTGTATACAGCTACTTGTACATTTATCAATACAAAAAATATTAAGAGTAACTCTTATCTTTTGTTCTTTTTTCCTTAGTTACATTACATTCTATTATTATTAGCTTGTTACAAAGTGTTTCTGGTTTTCTTATTATAACTCATGACTCTTGACAAACTCAAAGCATGGCATTCAGGTAACATTCATTTGGATTTTTGGAATAAAATGCAACTCCTAAATATATAGGAGCAATGTTAAATTAATGTCAAATCTCCTTAGCTAATAAAGAGATAATTGAAATCTTCCAAAAATCAAACTGATCATTTTTGCTTCTCGATTTTCATGTGTCGTATTTCACTAAACAAGTTTCAAGCATGTATTTAGTCGGCTTTTTAATTAAAAAAATCATATGAGAACATTTTCTTTTACTAATATTATAATGACAATTATAAAAAGTTAAACTGGTAATGGATCTTCTGATTTGCAAGTGATTCTACGATAGATTCAAGTTTTTGTGATCCAGTAATGGATGATTTATTCAAGATTACACATGTGAGTAAATTTATTATCAAAATATGGACTCTCAAATTTGCTAACGCTTTTTCATCTCAACCTTTTTCCTCTGGTTTGACCAATGTGTTATGTGTGCTCTAATATACTGTATTTTTTTATCTTTGTTGTTCACGGTAATGAAATTTTGTTGTTCTGTTGTGATATGTGACGTGTTTGTGCTTTTGAGATATGATCTAGAAGATTGTTTATAGAAAACTTGATTTTGGCTCATTTGATTCTACGACTGATTCCTACTTTTGCGATCCAATAATGGTTTATTTATTCAAGAGTTTATAGATTTGTTTGCTAATGTTTTTTGTTAGAAAGGGGTTAATTGTCATAATCATATTGAAAAGATTTAATTGTATTTGCATAGAGTGAGAATATTTAATTGGATGTGCTTTGAAGAAAAGATTTAATTGGATATGCTTTGAAGGAACGATTTGAGCCAGTCCTAAATTTTGTTGAAGTGGATTTGCAAATATATTATTGAATATTTAATTAAACAAATATTGCATGAAGATATTTAATTGAATTTGTTTTTGTTACAATAATTGAGTTTGAATTTAATGACAAGTTCTTCAATTTCTATTAAATATTATTTATAGTGCGTTTCTGTTTTATAAGAGATTGTATTCTGAATTCTCTACATGAGAGTTTGAAATTCTTACTTATATCAAGTAAAGGCATTGTTGGATTTGTTTTAATGAAGATTCAGAATTGGATTTATGAAGATTCGTGGAAAGAAACATGTTAAGCAAAATGTTAGACATTTTAGTTGACATCCTGTCTCAAAATGGTTCCTTGACACACAATGTTGATTGGAGTATATCTCGCGCTTTTGAGTTTGGTTTCCTTTTCTGTCTGGAAAAGATTTATCCTAAATTTTTTTAGAAAGATTGCATTTTGGTGTTCTAATTTGTTCAAGATTTATATCAATCAAGGATCTCAATCATCATAATGAAGATTTGATTGATTATGTATGTTTTTTTGTTTAAATAAACATTTAATCTTAATCAAATTGAGCTGAATAGAGTTTTGAATTATATTAGAGTTTTATCTTTCATCTTTGAAACTTAATAAATACTTGGGAGAGTGCTCAAGTGAAAGTGAGAGGTGTCTCAGATTCAAAGGGAGACCTTAATAAAAATTCACATGTAGTATTAGGAAAAGAGGAATTGAGCTAAGAGAGTTTAAATTAGACCAATTTGTAATTCTGATTATTAAGAATGATTTTCCTTTCATGGGGTCATTTCTAGATGCAGGTGATTTTGCACTGAACTGGGTTACCAATTCTTGTGTTATTTATATTTTGACTTTATTATGTCTACTACGCATTTAACTTGTCATACACATTGTTCCATCATTGTGTCTTACATTTTGTCATTCAAAGAACATTATTTCAATTGGCATCAGAGCTGACACCTTGTTCTATTTGGGTGTGTTCCATGGTTCTCATTATGTTCAAGATGGATAATCCAAAATAAGGAGGATCAGTAAATCAATCAGAAATTATTGATGGTACTAATAATCCTCCAAAGAATGGATCTGAAGACTAAGTAAAATATGATACTGAAGAAAGTCTCGTGCTTGTTAAGATCATGAGAACGGTCATGAGAAAATATTGTGCTTGCTAAATCATGAGAAAGGTCATGAGAATATGATACTGGGAATAATGTCGTTACCCATGTCAAATTTCAAGAGTTGTAACTTTTAGTGTAAAGAAAAAGATGGTGAAAGACAAAACCTCAATTGTTCTTACATAGGAAAAGGGATCCAATGTCATGAATGCAAATATTTTAGACACATTCAGGCTGAATGCCCAAGTTTTTTAAGGAAACAAAGAAAAGGTTGGAATGTCAATGATGATAAGATAGATGAAAAGAGTGAATCTGATCAAGCAAATAATAGTGTGACGTTCACTAATCACATAAAATACATGAAAGGTGTGTGAGATACATGTAAGCCTTCAAATTCAAAAAAACACATGTTACTCATATTTAGAAAACATAATTCACAATGTGAGTTAACAAGTTTCAAAATTCTGGAAAATATAATTATAAGCGCACTAGTTTTGTCTACACCAAACTTTCTTTGGGTTGTCACTATTGTGGTCAATATGGTCACATTGGACTGTACTGTTATAAATTTTTTGATAGACAACCTCATCACCAAAAAATATATCCTCAATGGAATGAGAAGTTTGATATACAGCATAGACAAGTTTGGCTTCCCAACATAGTTTATGTTGCGCATATCTCCCTCAAGGTTTCTTGTGAATATTGGTATTTTGATAGTAGTTATTCTAGACATATGATAGCGAAAAGAAACGGCCTGAAGGACATCAACTTGTATTTCAATAGTTATGTTATATTTGGTGATGGTGTTAAAAGAAAAAGGGGGAGTTAGATTATCCTGGTCTTCATTACCTTAATAATTTTTTACTTTGTGATCAAGAGTTATTTGTAAAAAAACACGTGTGTACGCACGAGTTTTGGTCTGATATGCGCATTTGTTTACAAATATAGGAAATTGTTGTTTTATTAAAATTATTTTTGTTTTAGTTAGATATCCTAATTGTCATTGTCATTAGATCACCCATATATTTTCTCGTGTATAAATATTGCTTTTATTTTTTACACTATTTCTAATTGTATTTGAACCAACTGTATATATTTTTCCGTATATAAAATTAACGTTGAAACTAAATCAGAACCTAATAAAGAGAAACTAATTTATTAAAGCTCATATTTATAAATTATTGAAACAACATATTTGAAATTAATTGATAAACGACACAATTGTATAATATTTATTTTAAATTATAAAAGATTATTAAGGGCATGTATTATCATATTAGCACATTTAAATATTTTTTAAAAATAACACATGATTTGCCGTGTATATTTTGTAGTTGCATGAAATAATAAATTGATATATTATTTTATGTTATTTGCCGTGTTATTTTTCTTTTATATTGATATTAATATTTAAAATTTAAAGGTGTCTATTAATTTGTATCTGTTTAGAATTAAAACAGTTTATGTGTTCACACTACAAAAAAAAATATTTATTTGTGACGTGACTATTACGTCACAATAAGAAGAATCACGTCACTACACATTATTTACGACGTGTGCGTTCACGTGGTTGAGGAGGGGGTGACAAATTGTTTGCGACGTAATTTTAATGTCACAAAGTTGTGACGTGAAAATCACGTCGCAACAATCTTTTATAAAAAACACAGCTTTGCAGGAAAGCAGGCGTAGCAGACTTACAGTTACTTTAGATGCAACGTGTTTTTCACGTCACTAAATAGTTACATTTAACAACTCTTGGGCATTAAGCTTTTGTGTTTTTTTATATATAAAGTGAGTTGCGACGTGATTTTCACGTCACAACTTGTGACGTGAAAATCACGTCACTAATGTTTTTTTTTAAATTTAATAACTGAATTTGTTTTTCTTTTATATATTCAATTTAATAAATTCAATATAATAAATTGAATAATAAATTTAATATAAAATAAATTCAATATATAATAAATTCAATATATTAAATTTAATATAATAAAATTTATAAACTCAAATTATAAATTTAAGAATTAATTAGTATGGTATACAAATTCAAATTTGAAAGTAAAATAAAAAAATTTAAGTTTATGGGTCATAATTATCAATGTCAAAATTATCTTCGTTTCCGTCATCCTCCAGCTCTTGACCGCGAAAGTTTGGATTTCCACCAAACCCTTGCATGAATTGTCTCATTTGTTGCTCCATATCAGCTTGCCTCTTTGCCATGACCTCCATTTGTCGTTGTTGCTCTTGCCTCATTGCCTCAAAAAAAATCAGTATATCATAAAACATAATTAATCTAAAACAAAAATATTAAAAATAAATTCAATAAATATTATACCTTTGTTACAAAATAAATTTGGAACTGATGGTGGAATTAGGATTTGATTATGGTAGAATGGACGAATAGTGAAGAGGGAAAGAAGAAAATAGAAGAGAGAAAGAAGAAAAGAAAGAGGATGAAGAAACACAATGGTTTCTGTAAAGAGGATTGCACAAGTTTATTAACCAATCAACGACGTGGATATCATGTCGCAACCTTGCCATGTGATATTCACGTTGCAATCCTAACATTATAATTTTAAAATTAACCAATCAGCGACGTGAATATCACGTCGCAACCTTGCCATGTGACATTCAAGTCGCAACTCCTCCAACGGTTATATTTTTACACTCAACCTGCACATTTCAGAATGACATCTTGTCAAAGCTGGGTTTTTTCCTTCTAAATTAGTTGCGACGTGTTTAACACGTCACAATATATTTTTTTGAAGTT